AAATTTGAATTATGCTATTGGGCTGTTTTATTTGCCCGAAGAGCAAAGTGGATAGAATAGAAAATATGTACACTTCAAGGGGCGTAAACATACCAAGCTGGCAAACTTTAGTGTTGATGAATGCTGCGTCGGATATGAATAATTCATTCAATTTCGCAGTTCATATGATTATAAAGTCCACAAATTTCTTCACCCTGAATTTATGGACTTGGCAATTTGCAGAGCTAGTTCGCAATGCGGCTGCTTCGCAAGCAAACTCGATAGATCGAGTGCGCGTTGCCTTGCTCAACAACTTAATAACATTTTCAAGGCACACTCCGTCGCAAGTCCCCACTCAGCAACCGTTAAGCGATTCGCTATTCATAACCACAAGGGTAAATCCGTTTAAAGGCATTGCTCCTTGGATGCTTAGTGTGTTGTGCAGCATACTTTCCGGCGCGCGTCATTGCGCACATTACGTATACGCCGCGTTGCGTCATAAGGTCTCGTTAAAACATTAATGCAACAAGTTCATTAAATGGCAGACCTAAGCATCGCCTAGATTTTATAATTTAAATTAATTTACCACATTTAGCATGTGCGTGTGTTAAATTCATTAGCCTGAAATCAACAGGAAGCCAACAGAAACGGACACCGTTAACGGCCACGACAATTTGCTTTCACTGAAATTGCCAATTAGGCAAGAGGGCAGTTGCAAATGCAGCAGCACCACTGAAGGCCAACGGAGGTCAACTAGGTGCACGATGCTCCGGAAAAGCTGCGAAATGCCACTGAAAAGGCCACTGAAAATGCCAGTTACATTGAATGTGAACTGTGCCTAAGCAATGACCGTTCCTGGAAGTTGGCGATGAGTCGCACATGTTTTCCGCTGGTTTCTTTGCCTTTTCCGTCAGTTTGCCCGTTCTCTTTCTTGACCTACCTTTCTCTTTTCTCTTCTCTTGCGTGTGGCTCAACCACGTGTTCGTGCTGCTTATGCCTTCACCTTGTTATTCGCAGTTCAAGCTCAAAGGACAGAGAGGGAATATGTATTGTGCGACAGAACGAGAAGGAGAATTGAGAGGGGGAAAGCTGTGGGGAAAGTGAGCTTCAAAGGACATTGTCAGCTTTTATTGTGTTTGGTTGTGCAAAGCTTTTTTTGGAGACTTATTTATTGTGTAAACTCTTTAAAATAGCAACAGATGGCGCCTTAATAAAAACATCTAAAACTAAACGTTTCAAAAGTATGATGAATTAATTTATAGCATGCATCTAAAACATTTAGTTATTATAGGGTCGTATACTATTTAACGGCAGACTTACCAGTTTCAGCATCAACTTCATCTCTTCCTTTATTATTATTCATTGCTGTCAAATTGTTCGACAAATTACCTCCACATGAGCTGCATAAATACGTCCGCATAATGTTGACTATATCAACTACAGACAGCTATTGAAGTAGCCGTGCAGACGCTCGGCTCTCCCATTCCCATGCAATAACATCCTTTGGCAGGGACAACTGCGATTAAGATGCAAAGTGAATATTAGTATGTTAACACACTTTTGCCCCCTTGTCACCAGGACCGCTTTCCACTTGACTTGACTGGAGGCAGCTGCCTTGTTTTGTTGTTCCGGGCTACTTGAATGCCTGTCCGGCGTCCTTTGGTCCTCGGTTGCTTTCGTCCTTTCGTCCTGGCAAACTGTTTGGCTTGAGTGGCCATCCAGCTGCGTGTCCCTGTGTCTGGCATTCGTAATGAAATTCAGAGGAGGAATGCCTGTGCCAACCTTAAACGTCTTGGGTGCCGGCCGACTTTGGTTGGAATTGATTTATTGGCTCAGCTTGAGCTCAGGCCAAATATCTATTTGCTTTTTCTTACGGATTCGTATATATCACTTATCTGAAAATGATTTAGTGGTGAGGCTTAGTCTTCTAAACATCATGAACGATCTTAAATGCTAATTAAATATTAAACCATATAACATGATACTCGTATATAATTAAAATAATTACCTATTACACGATCTATGAAATATGAAATTTCATAAAACCACAGAAACTGATATAATTGTGCTAATCATTTTCTCAGGAATAGGCTATAAAAAAATATTTAAAAAGTTTATTAATTTTTACCGCTCGAATATTTTATAATTTTGAATACAAAGAAAATTTAAAAAAGGGTTTTGATTCTTTTATTTTATTATTTGTCCTGTCAATATCGATAAGCCGAAAACATTTTGGCCCCGCCCACAAATTTAAAAGTTTCGAAATTTGTTTTTCAATCTATTAATTTTAGCCAAAGTTGAAATTTCGTGTTGGCACTTCCCAGCTTCGTAAAAGTCGAGTAAATCGACTACAGCATTCTATCTTGTTTTTATATTAATTTTTTTGATTCTGACTAAAAATTTCACTGCTTCCATTTAAAATGTATTATTTGTAGTTGGCACTTCTGTGGCTTTTTGCTAAGTTTGTAGTGCCGCAAGCTTCTTGTGGTTTCCGCCCACCTGTTGCTGCTCGGTATGAATTTAATTGCAGCTCCATAAGTGATTTGTGGCGAGCCGCAAAGCTGAAACTCGAATTTACAGCTGAGTTGGGTGACGAATCGCAGTGAATTGAGGCTGGGCCGCCATAAACAAGCGTTAATTGCACTTTGAGGTTGCACGACTGTCTATCTTGACTTCTATTTCCATTTCCCCCGACAAGTGCGAGTTATGTGGGAACTTGGCCCAAAAAAGTACAACCAGCTCAAATAACATGGCCCAATTGTGGGTCGCACTGTTAACCGGCTTAACAGAGGAGCTTTGAGCTTTCCTCGCTCGGAAAATCCTCCACAGAGATGTTACGCGGTAACATCGGGATTGGGAAAATATATGTTAGTCGGTCGGCATTGTCGGCATTGTGAAATCGGCATTCAGTTTGTTTTTATACTCTGCACATGAAACATGTGATTTCCCTCGAACGCTCGCCGCCGAAGCCAGAGTTTTCTTTAGAGTTTTTCCTCGCTGACCAGCCGAAAGAGTGAGTGCGTTCGTGAGTTTCGTTGAATTGTTCGTGTCGTGTCGTGTTGTGTGTCGATGACATTTTCCTGAAGCGAGATTTTTTTAGTAACGGAAATCGGATTGCTAATTAAAATTGCATCTGCCCGCAGTTGGCAGTTAAATGTTTAGTCGTAGAGAATAGTAACTAGTTTTAATGAAGTCGTATAAATAAAAAAGCGCTGCCGTAAATCGTAGCCAAACTAGGCGGCTCTGTTATTTTCCACATGGCCCACATAAATCAATAAGACGAAAATAATAAATCACCAAGATCACGTTAAATATTTAATTTCACACCGCATGATACAAGTGGCAATAAATGTTCCGTGCGAATTTGTGCGCTGTCTACAACTCCATGTGCATAAATAAATGAAGCTGTGACCAGCCAGTTGACCCGTGAGCTCTTATTTATCGGGGCATCCACCTGAGGAGAACCCCAAGTTACCGAAAGTTTCGTCGTGAATTTATTGCCAATGCCGCGCTCGCGCAATACGGTGTCCTTTGGGCCTCATTGTCGGCCAGCGAAAAGCAGCTCAGCTTCAATAAAAACCCTCAGACAACGCACAAAATCTTAAACACCACACATACCTAGCACTTTGCTGGGCCAAGATGATGCCAAAGGTATGTTGGAACACCGTCACATTCAAGTATTTCCGCTCTCGACTCAAGTGTGCAATCGAAAGTGAATCCGCATCCGCATCCGCATCGGCATCCGTATTCCGCTTCCGTTATAACGGAACTGTTGTCCTTACCAATTCTCGCTGTGCCTTCCCGGCTGTTTGCTCTACGTGGGTAATTTTTTATATCAATAAAAGTTTATCTGAAAGTACATGCCGCCACACTCCACGTAGTTGGGCGCCAGAAGCCTTACAAATGATGGGGAATGTTTCAAATGGTTATATAAATATTAAGTAGTTTTTGGGAACGGTCAGAAGGAAGTGAAATCGTTAGACACAGTGTGGAGTGTGGAAAAACCTCGTTTGATACATACGAGTGCAGCTATATTTCCTTGCCATTTGATACAGCCAATGGCCAATTAAATAGTAGCAGTAAAACCAAAAAGAAGTCTAGCAGAAGTACGTAGGAAGACTACGAGTATGTGGAATCCTTTGTCCTTTAAGTATTCCAATAAAGACAACACTCACCCGATTGGCCTGTTAACATGTTGGCTTAGGAGTTATAATGAGATAAAATAAATCATATTAACTCCCCTGCTTGAGCTTGTTTAAAAATATGTTGTGTGTTCAGTTTCGGCAGAAGAAAACCCCATGCCCCTTTGACTTTCTGCCCTTTCTCCTTCATTTGCGGTTTTGTACTGAGGTTTGTTGTTTCCGTTGCTTTGTTGCATTTGACATTATGCGCATTAAGTGCGCTTGGAATGCTCTGCTTCCTCCGGCTGCCAGGATTGCTCCTTCCTTCCACAAACACAAAATGCTAGTGACAACGATAGGAGGACGTGGAGGATAGAGGAGCCGGAAGTGTCGGTAAGGAGGCAGAATTGCCGGGAGCCAAGGACCAGGAGCCAGGAGATGACAGGAGCCGGGAACCGGGAGACTGCAGACAGAGGTAGACAGCTGCCAAAGCGCTTTGTAAATTATGTCGTTGAGGGGCTTCAGCTCGAGTGGGTTTTATGGGGAAAGTAACCAAAACCGGAATAAAAGCACTACCGTATGGCAGGACATAAACATGTGTGTTCGAAAGTTTCCGAGCTTGGGGCACAATTGCTGCTCAGCCTTTAATTAAATATGTACAAACCTGGAGGTGGCCGTGGTGTGAAAGTAATTTAAGTTTAATATTCATGCTAATTTAAATTTGAAAACGCAGTTCGCGGATTACAGTGCGTATACGTAATGTTTAGCTTGATTGCTGGTTTGCAGAGCACTTTAGATGGGAGTTTGATTTAAATTACATTAGTGCTATGCGGATATACATTTGAAAACGAAAGACACTTTTGTCTGTGACATCAGTTCAGTTTCAAAAGCCCATACAAAATGAGGCAAATAAAAGTGTTAGTCTGCTTACTGGTCGGTGGAGTGGTTTCTTCAACGGAACAACTTCAATTCATAAGGAATTTCCTAGAAGCGGTGCACAAAGACAGATCTATTTCAACAATCCTTCTTATGCAAAGCAAAGATCATAAAAATGATTTTCTGCACGGACTTTATCCCATACCGTGGCCTATAATTCGCTTGGACGAAACTAAAAAAATGAAACTGGTAAACTATTTTAACAAGGACTTCCTGGCTCTGGTTTATATGGAATCTAACGAGGATGCTTTGCTACTCTCGGCGTTGGCTGCCAACTTTAATCATATTAGAGAGACCAGGATTATGATCTGGTTACAGATGAGTCCTTCGGAAGTTTTTATTGAAAATATTGCTTTTGAGGCAGCTAATCACAAGTTCCTTAACCTTGTGGTGATAGAAAATACATTGAGAACTCGACGATTTTATCCATTTCCGCAGCCAATGGTGCAAGTTATCGAAAACCTATTCGAAGAAAAGGAAATATATCCTGCTCATTGGCGAAACTTCATGGGAAAAAAAGCTTATACTATTCCGGACATGGTGCCACCAAGGAGCTTTTATTCTTTTGATCCCAAAACGGGTCTCAAAAGGGAAGCTGGATCTATCTATAAGGTCATTAAAGTCTTTACCCAGAGATACAATATAACCATGCGCCTAAAATGGCCCCCCAACATAAATACTACCCAAGAAGAAATCATCGAAAGGACTGTTCGGGGAGAGATAGACCTACCACTAACCGGGCAGTTGATTAACTTCAGACACCCAAATGGAAGTAGGACACAGCCTCTTTTAGGAATGACAACCCTATCCATTACCGTGCCGTGCGGCCCAGAGTTGCCCATGTTTGATCGGTTCTTTTTGGTCTTCGGACTGGCAACACCCATCACCATAGCTGGATACTACGTCCTGTTAAGCATCATTGATGTCTTACTTGGTACCCTAAGCGATCGAGTCAAACGCCATCTGAGACGTGAGAAATTCCTGAACCTGGTTGTTAACCTACGGGTGTTTGGTTGTATTTTGTCCCTGTCTACGCCTCAAGGGAATCGACTCAGGTCCGTCAAGGGACAGTTGACCATGGTGATGAGTTTTACAGGCCTCATTCTATCCTGCATTGTGGCTGCACAAACTAGCACTATACTCACCATGAAACCCCAATACCGGCACATCAATAACTTTCAGGAACTGCGAGATAGTAACATAACCGTGATTTGTAACCAACTTAATTATAAGACCATCAAGCAGCAAATGAATCCCCAGTTTGTATCCAATTTCCTACCGAACATCAGGATTGTGACCAGCATACAGCAGATGAAGATGATTGTTGATTTGAATACGAGCTATGCCTACCAGACATTCTCCTACAAAAAGGACCCCTTCACGGTGCTCCAAATACACACCACCCGTAGGGCTTTATGTAGGTCCCCAGATCTAGATTTGGTCAGCGGACTTGCCTATACTGCGGTTCTGGAGAAGAATTCGATCTACGCACTGCCTCTGCAGCACTACACACTTCAGGTCTTCAGTGCCGGTTTGGTCTTTCACTGGGGTGATGAAGCTATTCGGGATCTCATCTCCACACTAAAGCACACACAACTGGAAAAGCTACCCATTGTGATCGGCTATCAAGCACTAAAGCTGCAGGATTATAAAATCTGTTGGATGATACTCTTCATCGGTGGTGCTGTAGCTTTTTGTGTATTCATAGGAGAAGTTGTTGCGGGCTGTATAAATCGAGGAATATTAAAGATATGAAAGTTGAGGAAATAAATTTGAACAGAAAAATATCTCATCAATGTTAAAATTTATAAATAATCCATTTCTTATTACTTAATTCTCTTGCAACACCTTCTTGATGTTAATAAAAATTCATGTTGTGTGTTTTATGAAAAATTAACTCCTTATTCCTTTTAAAAGCGGTTGCCATTCGTATCTATTTTCACTGTATAAATTGTATAAATACCAATACTTTCATGCCTTGTTGGAATGTGTAGCGTTTACATAATTTTCCGGCTTGCAGAGCTTTTTAGATGGGCGTAAGATTTAAAATGCAAAGATACACGGATATGACTGTAAAATGGAAATGCATATTTCCAAGTGTCCTTAGTTCTTGAAAGCAGTTGAGCAGAAACAAACGATTACTGTTATTCTGATGATGCAAAGTCACGTTCACAGAAAGACTTACTGGATCGAAGAAGCAGTTCGGAAAATAATATAATATCATCAGTCAGGTATTCCCGATTTGCCAAGTTGCCGTTTTCGAAACTAGGCAGTTTGAAAACATTTTATGTGGGTTTTGTTTGTGGAAAACGGAAAGGAAAAACGGAAATCGATATCGAACTCAGAAAAAATAAAATTAATAATATATTATTATAGAAAGCGCATATACATATGAATATTCATAAACCCTTGTATAACCAAATACCTGTTTCTACACTCCATAACTGCTTTAATAAATTATTTAAACGTGAGTTCGAGGTAGCTTACATCATGCCGCCTTCTTTGACTATCTGGTTCCTCATCAATGACAATAAAAACCGAGTCATAAAGGGGCCACAAATGACATATGTGACGATATGCCGGGCATTTATGATGGCAAGGGCCACCAGACAAGAGGCTCTGTCACCCAATGCCGACATGTCCGTTGCTCAGATTGAGTGTGAGAATAAAGCATAGAGTTGACACATGGGAACTGGTGTCCCAATGGTCCCAGCCTTGACCTCAAATGTGGACTGTCCCGATTCTGGAGTCCTGGAGTGCGACAATTAATTACTGCATAATAAATGCTATGATACGATTGATGAGCCGGGCGTATCTGACTGCTGGCCAACTGCAATTAGGGATAGAACGGAGCGAAGTGGAAAACACATTCGAAAATCAATCGATTGACGTCAGTGAACGAAATTTGGGCCGAAGAAAAGAGTGTAAGGTGACACAATCCCGCAAAGGATACATACCGGGAACCACAGGGCGTATGCGTCACGTGAACTGTCGAAAGCCCCGGAATGGATTTAAGGTTTATAAATAAAAGAAATCCCGCAGCTACAGTTACGATTGCGCTCCTCGCCATTTTATCATTTAATTAAAATTTAAATTGTAACATCTAGCGGAAAATCGTGGAAAACTGAATGCAGAAAGCGAACTTTTCACATATACATAGGTACGACTACCCCTTTGGTTGTGCCGTCTCCCCGTTCAGTGTGAATTATTTATATCACATACAATTTGAATTTCTGGTATTTGCATTTGTCAGATTGTTATTTGCTGATTGACAATGTGTGCCGCTAAAGGTGTGTGCTCCTGATTGGACTACGTTCTCCCAAGGGAAGCCAGCGAAATGGACGCCTCGCATGTCAATCTTCATTCGAGAAAGTGCGGAAAGGCCCTAGTTAAAGGTTATGGATTCATTAGAATAAAAACCCAAATGTTTACATTAGCGTTTTTTGCAAGCGAACTCCGCTGGGCTTTCGCATTTAATTTCATCCATGGCTAACTCAACTGGCAGCGCTAAATTGCATACGCATGCCACTAGTATTTGTCGGTCAATTTGCTGTCAAAATATGCCAAAGCAGCACAAGTGGCTGGGTCAGGTCACTTAACCGCATTACAGCCGTCAGCAGAACATGCGTTCAAAAGTTCATTGGATGTAGGAATGCGCTTGCCAGGCACTTTACCAAATAATGTGTAAATAGTAAAAACTACATAGAAAGCAAAAAAGCTTAAGGATGTAAACTGTATATCCAGCATGTATATGTACCACTTAAATGACATTTTTTAGAATAGGTGTTGTAAATTACTATATTTTACAATTTTACATTTACGGAAGAGTCCGGAAAAAATTATAATTTTCAAGAAAACGATGTACATTGGTTCCATTTAAATTTGCCAGAGAGTTTTACTGGCTAAAACAGATTCCCCTTGCCGTTTTCTATTAGTGTGGAAAACACGGGGGGCGAGGTCCTTCTGGGCGGAGTGTGAAAAGTAAAGAACCCCCGGGCTGCTGTTGTTTCTGCCAACTGCTCTTCTGGCTAGCAAAAAGTTCTGTTTAAGTCAAATATTGGCCTAGCTTAGGCGCCTGCTCCGCCTTTTTCCGTTTCGTCCTGGCCGAGGGATATTAAGCGAGCAACGGCAACAGGACAATGCAGATGCAATAAAAAAATATGTTCGGTGAAGAGGGAAAGAGGAGAATGAAGCTGAATTACTTGCAGTCATTTAAGGGCAATCTTAGAGAGCCAAGCGAGGAGGTATGGTGTTCATCAATAATCCAAGCGTTAAATGCATTGAAATTTCCTACGGCGACGGATCAAGATTTTTGTTACGCTTTACACTCGAAGACCATTTTCCTGCACAATGCTTTAAATCGTAAATTCACAGCTGACAGCTTTTCCAGTCGAAGGAACGGAACGGAACGGGAACGAGTCGGCTTATGTCAGGCCTGGCTAAGTGCATGACAATCACAGATAGTTGGCGGCTGCAGGGGCAGGGAAATGTCCTGTTTTCGACCCGCTTTCCTGGCTTTGTTTTTGTTCTTGTTGTTGTTGTTGTTGCAACAAAGGACCAAGCAAACATTCGGACAAATAGCAAACAAACCCTTCCACACATTGCAGCCGAAGGAACAAGGGACAGTTTGATGGACAGCCTGTCAACGCGCAGTCGGTTCATATTTTACTATTGCATATAGAAGTCTGTCTTTCGGATTAATGGTTTACAACAATTGGAATCCACGCAAAAACTGGTAGACAATGCCGAGCGGAAAACTAAAATTGCTTTTCCCATTTTCGCTTCATTGATTGATGGCCGCAGACCGTAGTCAAAGAGTTATATTTTCAAACTCGTGTTTGAAATCGAATCTATTGCGTCAGTTATACGCATCTACAGAGATTTTCAAAACTTTAAGCTTACCAAAACTGAGCTCATATAGAGCCAAGAGTTGCCATTCAAAAATAATGGTGTGTCAGACATTAAAAATTTACTACAAGTGCCAAAAAAGGCGCGCCAACTTGCAAGTCCTGTGCATATTTGACAGGATGAGCGGGCGAGTCCTGCCGCGAACTCAGAAATGTGCTCAGCCGTCTTAGGATAGAGAGCATTATTGATCGCCAATCAAGATGTGACAGTTTGCAAGGTGCATTATCATGCAAATTAATTGCATTGCACGGCGAACCGTGCATTAAGATGGCCACTGTCACTGTCACCGACACCGACACCGCATTTCAATTAAATCAACACATTGATTTAATTAAATTTCCGCCGTTTTTACAAACTGATGCTACTCAGTAGTCTTTTTTTTTTACGCCGCTTTCATTGGGTTGCGGTTGTGCTGGGTGCGTGGTTTTCAATTAAAAATGCCATCGATATGCGCAGCTACATAATTTATGCAAAGGAGTCGCCAGGCACTCTTCATCTTTCAGAGCAAAGCCCTTATAACGTGTACATATGTACATTGCGGAGTTTGGGAAAGTACATGAACGAGGTGGATGTGGCCTGTAAAATGGCATTTAATACGGCGGTATCAGCAACTTTAAGCGTGTTGTAAGCGAGGTCATGTGGAACGCTCTGTACAAGTAATTACCACTTTTTCCAAAAGAGCCTTTTGGCACAACAAATGGCTCCATTAGAACTGGCTTCCAGAGGCTCCGCAAGTGTTTTAATTACAAAAGCGCGACAAACGGCAAACAAGAAGCCATGGCAGCCTACACATGCAATCCTAATCCGCTTAATTTATTTACACGAACTCTAAAACAAGCTTGAGTCGCCTTAGCAGCATGTACCACCTAAATTTGGCTTAAACGCTCCGAGCCACATGTTGACAGCCAAAATGTAGGCCGAGAGTTGCCGCCCCAGGCATGTGGCTCGTGTCAACAATTTATTTTTGTAATTTATGCATGAATAATTAGTCGCCACCATCCCAGGCTGTTGCGATTCACACGGACTTTAGCCGGAAAGGAGGATTTAATTGTACAAATCCAATTTGCTCACATTATGCATCAAAACGCGGGAGCTAACTCCATATACAATCTTGAAAACTTTCTCGGAAAAAATATAATCTTTCGCTGTCAGATCTATCATTAATTAAGAGCGAATTTAGCGGATTTTAGCATTCAATAGACATTGTTGCACACTTTCAAGCAATTCAGTGGCTTTAAACTCCTCTGAGAGTACTACATAATCTTGGCACATCCTTCCCTAATCAAGTCATTAGAAATTCCGCCCGAATAAGTTCTTGAAAAGAAAGCAATAATACGTATACTGCGTTAAATTGTGCGTGTAAGCACCTGACTTACGCGCAAACAACCTTTGGCTCATTATTTATTTAAGCAAAGTTTTTAGAAATTTATTCCAACTTTGGCGCAACTATTTTTCCTGTAAACTTGCCACTTTATTTGTTTGACACGTGCAGTGATGAAATTTCATATTTAAACGGTATGGCAAACTTTTGGCCCACATAATGACTGTTGACAATTGCCAATAAATGCAGATGTGGGGTTTGGTGGGGGGTGGGTCCCCAAGGCCCCACCCATAAAGGACCCCAAACAATATTTTAGGCTTCGCTGAGTGCGATGAGTTTGCCATTTTATTGTATTAACAGCAACAGGCTGTTCAAACACTAGGACGGGAAGTGTACACTCGAAGAAACCGCGCGGGCGAACTAAGAAAGGGTAGTGCGAAAACGGATGGTCTTAGAGGCCAAGTCCATAATCATAATTCTCGCAGTGCAAGACGTGTTTTATTAGCAGAAACAGCAGGACAGCACC